CTCCAGGCACCAGGATAAGACATTCACAGCATCACTTAATTCACCAAGGGCAGAGATATATAACTGGGTATCATCAGCATACTGATGATACCTCACCCCATGGAGATGGATGAGCTCGCCCAGCAGCTTTGTGTAGATGTTAAATAGGAGGGAGTCTCCTGGGACCCACCAAATGTAATTGTCTAGCAGACAGATTTGTTCGTAAATGACTAGGTGGTGGATGAAGTGGTAAATTTGGTATATATTGCTGAAATTTGGATGGACAAGATCAGCAATTTTGCTCTCTTCGAAATCTAACCAGCTGGGTTTCAGATTTTCAGAAGCCTTGAAGCCAAGGCTGGGAAGGGATGTTGGTATTGCACCTAGTCTGTAACCATGGACTCCATCCCTGAAATACCAATATGTCAGTGCCTGTAAGTTAAGTGGGGTTGCAGAGACAAGTTTGGGATACTGCTTGTGTGTCTTAGCCACCTGCAGCCCAGAAAAACCTCTCCCTGGGCAGCTGGAATTGGTCTCTAGGCTGGGGGGGGGGGGGGGAGGTGGAGAGCCTCCATAGCTCAGTATTGGGGTCTTCAGCTTCCAAGATGTTGGAAACAGTTCTGGTAAGACCCAGGAGTTCATGGCCTTCATGGCAACAACCATGGGATTCTCTCAAGTAGTCTCTGGCCTGACTCGTGGAACAGCTTATACATTAGAATATGTTTTCTCTCTGAGCTTCATTTTTTTCCCCTGAGCAGATGTTATGTGATCTGGATATGGAGTGATTTCCATCATCTACTTTGCTGTGGTCAGAGCATAACAGAAACTGTTTACGATTAGCCTAAAGAAGAGAAGTATAAGAGGATGATAACAGTAGTTAGATTTGCAAAGGGAGATCCATACTCAAAACAAGGAGGGATTTCTGACCTTTAGAGCAACTAGACCATGGAACAACTTACCTCCTGGAATCCATCACTGAATCTTTTCAAGCAAAATTTAGAAAGCCTTTATTCTGGGATGGAGTGAGATTTCAGCCCAGGGCATGGTGTTGGACTAGAAGACCTTCAAAGTCCTTCTTAACCCTGCAGTTCTATGGTTTTGAATCAAGCCAATATAAGCACAGGATAGGAGCAGCTGAAATGCTAAATGTCTATATGTCCAAAGACTACATTTATGGTATGCCAATGGCCACAGACCTCACAGTCTTCCTAGCCCTAGTATTTCTTTGCTCTGAAAATTAAACTCTGTGGAATTGACTTGTACCAAAAAAGTTCAGCTAGTTAAGCTAGACCCAAACCATCAAATAGAGTACTTGCTTTAAGTTCTGATATTAAAATCTTTGAAATAGTGAAAATTCTGATATTTCAGGGCAGGAGTGAGAGATGATAATATTTCTCCCATGTCTTGCTATTCTTTTTTTGTTAAGGCTGGGGAGGTATTGCTCAGCACATTGCCAAGAATTTGTGTGTGCACTGATGCTTTTATTGAAATTGACTCAAAAATCCAGCTCATACAATATTCCTGCTGTTGACAGTGCTTATACAAAATGTCATTTGTTACTGTAAAGGCAAGTTTTAATCATCTCCTGGCCTTTGGTTCATTAGTCAGAGACCCGGTAGCTGTCAAATCAGCTTCCTGAGATCTGAGAGAAACAATAAGTCCTGGTGCACAGGAGAAATTACCTAAAAGGGTTTACTACTTCCCACTGTCACCTAAAGCTTTTGATTCCTAGGGTCCAGAGTTGATGTTCAGGTGTCTGTAGTAGGGAGAGCCCTATTTTCCCAATACCATTCAGATCTGGGACAGATTGCCATGGAGATCATCTTTCTATGTAGTTGCTAAGAGTTGACAATGACTTCATGGCACATATTCAATTACTCAGTCAATCAAGGCTTCTAACTTCTTCCTTCCAGAGTTATAGCATTTCAACAGGGAATACAAGAAAGACCCCAAAATATAAACAAAATAACAGTAAATTTAACTCAATTCATTTTATCTCCTAGCAAGCATATATTTCACGTTTCACAATAAACGTTTAAACTGAAGTACACCCATTTATGTTTAATGCTTTATACTTGATAGCAGTTTTCAGTTCAGCAAGTATATTAAGAATCCTAATCAATCATAAACATGGCATTCCAATGTCAAGTAATGAATGAGCAGCAAAGAAGGGAATCAGCAAGGAAGAGTTGCAAAATACAAAGCTCAATCAGTCAAAAGGGAGGGCCTCTGAAGATCTGCTGAGCAAGAAAATGGGACAAGACCCGGGGGCTGGAATGCAGGACTGGAATTAAACACCATGCCTGCCTTCCGTGAAAGTGGCCTGCCCCTGCTCTCCCACCATATCTTCCCATATTCATCACCACCATGACATTACCATCCACCTTAAAAACTCCAGAGGCCCCTAAAATCCCCACTCCATGCCTCCAGATCCCAAACAGGGGACCCCAACATGCCAACAAACATCCCAAAGGGGCAAAGAACAAAGTCCCCAGGGTGCTATAGCATAAGCTCTCAGAGCCACAGGGCAACTCTAACACCCACCCCTGCTATCCAAAGAGCAATCAGTGCCTCTCCTCCCCACACATATCAGCTGCTCTCACCAAACTGGCTGGAGGAGCCTCCAGTCACAACAACAAACCCAACCATCCCATATCCTCCCTCCAGCTCTCACCTGGGATGGTACTCAGTTCAATACCTTATTACCAATCCAACCACCAGGTGGTGTCCACACATCAGATTTAGTTTGCCTGAAAATGGCCACCACATTGTCCCCTTTCAATTCCAACCATGAAGGAGACAAAATAGCCTCTAAGGAGAGAAAGTCCATGACAGGTCTCAGGTACCAGCCTTCTTCTGCCACTATTCTCTCTCAGATCCACCAAATGCCACTCATTAGACATTCCATAGTAGCTCAGGAGTTCTTCAGGTCCCAGGCCAAATTTGGGGACCATGAACCACACCAGACTGCACTGTCTGTCACTGGTAAAGGTCAGCAACTGGTGAAGGCCTGTCACCATGTCCTGTGTTGTCCCCACCACTGCCACTGCCATAAATGCCACCACTACCACAAATGCCGACACATATTCACCAAGCAATCCTGGAAAACAGAGAGCCCTTCTGACTGGCCTTTATGTCCAAGCCTCTAAAAACAGTTTCCTGCATCACTGCAGCATCCACCCAACCAAAAACCAGCTCTGCACCAGTCTGGTAGAGACTCTCATCCACCAGAATAGCTCTGAAAAATCTCCCACTGCTGATGCAAATCTGTGGGAGCAGCATACATGCCTGCCTCTGCTCCCCGACACCACGCAGCCCCAGAAGGAGTATGAGATGTGCAGTCCAGCTGATCTAGCCTGGGAGCCACTTTGGGTTCACCAATTGAAAAATGGATCAAAAAACAGACCAAAAAGGGGCAAGTGAGTCAGGAAACTCACCCATTAGTCACATAGTCCACTCTCTCACTATCTTGATTGCTCTCAAACCCTCTGTTACATACAAAATGCCCTCAAAAAAACAAACATACCGGTCCCTGTAATAAAAACAGAACCCACAACACACATCCACCACTCTCACCACCATCTTGCCTCCCTTAGCAAACCTCCGATCTTTTCACTGTGGGTTTTCCAAGAAGAAGAAGAAGAAGAAGAAGAAGAAGAAGAAGAAGAAGAAGAAGAAGAAGAAGAAGAAGAAGAAGAA